AAAATAGTTGAACATCAAGTATTTTAAAAATATTAAAATAGTTTAAATTTAAAATCATTAAATAAGTGGTCAATTTTGAACTCAAAGGTGGATGACAAGGGTATTTTGGAGCCAATAGGTGGATGAAAAGGGCATTTCGGAGCCAATAGGTGGATGAAGGGTAATTTTGTACCATTTTCAATACTTCAAGGGCATTTCGGAGCCAATAGGTGGATGAAAAGGGCATTTTCCATGATTTGAGCATTATTAGTGGCGTATTTCTCGAACTAGAATGATATATACTTGATCTACATAATCTGATGGCAGTTAGTCACGTATTTCTCGAATTAATATGATTAGGAATTGATCAACATAATTTAAGGTTTTTAGTGACGTATTTTCTAAAACTAAGTTGATTTGGATTTGATGAACATAATTCGAGGGTAGTTAGTGACATGTTTCTAGAATTAATATGATTTGAATTTTACTTCGGTCAATTTGCGAGATATTCGAGATGCCTTTTAACTTGATTTAGTTACCTTTATGTGGAGCCATCCCATATTTTTGGTCAAATTTTGTTTTTTAATTACTACAAGTAATTTTTAAAAGAGAATAGTAATTAGAATTGAAAATAAATGATTTTGTGGTTGGAAATTAGTAAAAATTGCAACCCTTTTTGACTTTGATATATTTAACTGTCATTAGTGACATAGGCATGATTTTCAACACACCATGTTAAAGAGAAAAAAAATCATTTTGGGAGCAAAGTGAGGTATTCCATAGACTATATAAGAAAAAGTTTTGAAGAAAAATAGAGTGTGAGCGATATATTAGTGAGGAGGAAACCAAAAGAGTATTGTTCCTTTTGAGTGTGTAGTAGTCACTTTGAATATTGTATTCATGACTACACAGTGTAAAATTCCTTACTATAATATTATCAGTTGATCCTCTTGGACCGTGGTTTTCCCCTTATTTAGAAGAGTTTTTACGTAAAATTCTTGGTGTGATTATTTTTTCATTTTATTTTCATTACTTTTATCATATATATTTTTGTGTTTATCCGCATTTTTCAAAAAAAAAACTAGTATGAGAGCTAAGGTTTTATCTAAATATGCTATGTCATTGCAGCACAGTCTGAACTTCCACATCAGAAAAATTTACTTTAATTTGCGATAACAATATTTTTTGGGAAAAAATGATGGAAGCCAACACAAGTAGAATGATTACTTTGAATGGTGTTAATTATGTAATTTAGAAGGGAAAAATGGAAGATCTGCTTTATGTTAAGAATTTTTACAGACCAGTATTTACCACTGTAAATCTTGACAATAAAATACATAAAAAGTAGAATTTGTTGCATAGACAGGTTTGTGGATTCATTAGGCAATGGTTCGACGATAATGTGCTGAACCCTATTTCTGAAAAAACACATGCTCAAACCCTATGGGAGCATCTTGAAAGTTTGTATGTTCGGAAGACTTGCAACAACAAAATGTTCTTAATAAAGTAGATGTGGAGTTTAAAGTATCATGATGGATTTCCGATGACATACCATCTAAATAATTTTCGGGGATCATAAACCAATTATCTTCTATGGGCATTAAATTTGATGAAATTCAAGGCTTACTTCTAGTTGGTTCCCTACCAGACTCTTGGGGAACATTTAGAACTTCATTTTCATATTCTGCTTCGGATGGTGTGAACTCTATGGATTCTGCCAAGCGTAGTGTCTTGAACGAAGAGATGAGAACAAAAACTCAAGGTTCATCTCTGTCGGATGCCTTGATAACTAACCTCAGGGGGAGAAACAAAACTCATGGTTCTCAGTATAGAGAACAAAATAGGAGCAAATCGAGAAGTAGACTTAAGGATATTGAGTGCTATCATTGTCGCATGAAAGGGCACACAAAGAAGTTTTTAGGAAGCTGAAGAGGGAGAACAAAAACAAAGAGGAAACTAAAGAAGATTGCAATGAAGATTGCCTAGCCACCGTCACCACTGAAGATCCTCTTGTCGTTCTTGATGCTGATATAATAAATATTGCTTGTGATGAGTCAAGTTGGGTTGTAAACACTGGTGCCGCATCTCATGTGACATCAAGAAAATATTTTTTCTCTTCATATACTCCTGGTGATTTTGGAACATTGACTATGGGTAATGAGATCGTTTCTAGGGTGGTTGGTATTGATACAATTTGTTTGGAAACTAGTATTGGAACTAAACTAGTTTTGAACAATGTGAAACATGCTCCTGATGTTCGTCTGCACTTAATTACTATTGGCATTTTAGATGATAAAGGATATGCTAGTACCAACGATGATGGAAAATGAAAACTCATTAAGGGTTCCTTAGTTGTGGCTCGTGGTAATAAACATCGTGGTCTATACTAGACTATGGCATCTTCTTGTGTTGATATGGTGAATGCAGTTGAGAGTGATATCTCTTCAACGGTATGACACAACAGACTTAGCCACATCAGCGAGAAAGGACTTAATGTTCTAGCCAAGAAAAAATTATTGTCAAATTTCAAAAGTACTTAATTAGAAAAGTGTGAGCACTGCTTGGCTGGTAAAAAATAGAGTTTCATTAAAGTCCTACCCCCCTTCGAGAAAGACAGAGTTGCTTGAGTTGGTGCACTCTGATTTATGTGGTCCAATGAAGACAAAAACATTGGGTGGTGCTCTTTACTTTGTCACTTTCATTGATGATTGCTCGAGAAAACTTTGGATCTATGTCTTGAAGACTAAAGACACTACTAGAAATTTGGTCTATTGCCACGGTTCACCTTTCGTTGCAATTGACGTTACTACCGTAGCCATAGGTCTAAGGCTACGGTTACACCAACCGCTACAACAGATCGCGTAGCAATAGAGCTATTCCTATGGTTCTGTGCGACAGTTCATATAACCGTAGCCATACGTTGACCTATTGCCACGGTTATCATTTGAATTAATTGCCAACGGTTATGTACGTATTGGTACAGTTTTTAACCGTTGTAATAGAGGTTTATGCATCAGTTCTGTTAAGGCTATGGCTACAGTGTTTTTTCGATTCAACACACCATTTCACTCAATTGCGACGGTTGTTATAAGGATATTGCAACACTTTTAAACAATTGTAGAACTATTGCTTAATGCCTATTGCAACGGTTATTACCAGCTATTTGCAACAATTCTAATGCAATATTAGTAAGCTATATATACCTGCTATATACTAAATCATTAATGAGAATAAATTTTATAACATAAAAATACACATAAATCGTTAACGAGAATAAATGTTCATTACCTTAATTAGAATTCAAGATCCATGATTCTAATATCAATTAAAGCAAAATATACAAATCATTTTATAGCATTCAAAAAAGGTGAAACACATGCCATAAAATTTTCAATCTTCAAAAATATATGATTTCTAGAACATCAATAAAGTTTACATCAATATATACTTCAGCTCCTATGTCAAGTCTTCACTATTGCTTTCATTGCCTTCTTCGATTTCGTCACCTACATACAATCAGAAAAAAATATAAATAATTTAGGAAACCTCAAATCTTGGAAATTAACAAGTATACATGTAGTTACAAGCAGGCATTAGCTTTTAGAATTGTTCAACCCTAAAACTTGGAAATCAAGTACATGCCAATAACATTCAACTGCTAGCTGCACGCATTCAAACTTCTACAAGTAGCAGTAGAAACAAGAGACCAGACTACATGCAGTAATTAGCTACTACGTTGGCTCGACTAAACATAATCGTGAAGCTAGGATTCAACACTATGTATAATGCTGCAAGAAACCAGCAGCAGAAACAAGAGAGCAGCTGCAGAAACAAGATAGACCAGCAGCAGAAACAAGAGAGCAGCTGCACAAACAAGATAGACCAGCAGCAAAAACAAGAGAGCAGCTGCAGAAACAAGATAGACCAGCAGCAGAAACAAGAGTCTAGACTACAAGCAGTGAAAACAACACTATCATGCTACAATAGACATGTTTAATTAACATAAACAAGAAACCAGACTACATGCAGTAATTAGCTACTACGTTGATTGGCTTCCAAAAGGTATCAATAAGTTATATAGAAATGGTTGGAACCACTGCAACTCGTCAAAAAGCTCTTAAAGAACAGTACCTTTTCTCTTGCACTTGCATTCACTGCATCAAGTTGGTATGTCCATTATGTAGTCTAACTAGTGCTCAGTAATAAGATTTCTCTGCTCACAAACTTATAACCTACTGTAAGGGACAAAATGATGATATCCAAGAAAGTGCAATTCCGGAGGGTTATAGATGCAAGGACAAGAGATGCACTGGTTTCCTGCTTCGTGACTCTGGTAATAAAGGATTCACATGCCAATTATGTGGACTTGTTAGGGACAAGGAAGAAATAAAGAATACTGTTCATGAAATCCAATCACTGTCTGAAAAGGCTTCGTTTTCACTTCCATGTGGACGTATCCTCTAAATTTAGCACTAAGAATGTCTAATCTATGTTACTATCTGTAAACTCTATATAATAGTCATATATAGATATTCTACTAATGTTAGAATAATCATCATGTTAATACTACTTCTAACAATGTGTTGAGCTAATATTTTCCCCTCTAAGTCAGCACGAGCTATATTACGCCATAAGAGGAGGCACTAGTCCTCTACTAGGCTACAAGCAACACCAGAAAACTCATGAACCAGACTACAAGCAGCAACTCAGACATTAAACTATCAGAGAACAAGCAGCAACTCAGACATTAAACTCATGAATCAGGCATTTACTGATCCTCTGCCTAACTTTTCCGCAACTTCCTTAGATCAATAGCATACTATTCCATTCTAATCCTATAGAAAGTAGCAACAACAAATACCAATCAAAATATAGAATTACCGACACCAACCTTGTTTAGCCCCTTGAACAGAAGTAGATTCTCTTGGTGAAGGAGTCAACAATGCTGCCAATATGTTAGGATCAATTAATCCCGCATGCTTAAGTTGTGCAATAACATCTGCAATAACTTCTTGTCGCACAATTTTCTTTTGTTCCTCCATTTGTTTCTCCATTTTCTGCATCCTCTCTTGCATTTGCTGCATTCCATCAGTTGTTGCACTTAAAGTTGATTCCCAATTGCCAACTTTTTTTTTCAAAGTAGTCTTTGTAACTCCTGCGCCATATAGTCTTAGACGTCCCGGATGTTCAGGACCCATGACGCTTGAAAATGCATCAACATACTCACCATTTATGCTTATTTGTTTTTCAATTTGCTCCATTTCAGCCTACCAAATTATATCCAACAAATACAATCTTATGAAATAAATAATTGATCTCAACGAAAAAAATTAAAATAGACAGGCACATACAATTTTACTAGTAGTATCTTCATTTGAGGCCTTGTACGATCGCCCAGGTTTTCTTGTTCTTGTAACCACAAAGAGATCCTTCGATGATACTGTCTCCTTATCTTTCTCCTAGTCGAATTGAAATATATATAAAAACTAAACTCACATTGGAAGAGATCCAAAAGAAAATTTCATTAAAAAATAATATATCAGAGAACTCACCAGCTTATTACGAACTAAAGCGAAACTCTTTTTGCCAGCAGTGTGTGGATTCATCAGTTTTTTTTCGATTCTTTGCATTTGTTTCAGACATTTTCTGCAAAGAAATGAATCAGTAATGTTAATTGAAGGTATATTAGTGTTATATAGTGTACTAGACGAGGTCAATATTAGTCTGTCTTTCCTTTATAACAGTCTATTTTTCCTTTATAACAATCTGTCAATATTAGTCATTATATAGTGTTAAGGTGTCTTGTAAAATGCATGTGACTATCATAATAAATGAAGCTGCAAAATATTACAATAGAGAAGAGAGTAAAAGAAAAAATAAAGAAGAATATATACTATTATCACACTACTTTAGACACCAAAGTACAACCAAGCCTCAGGTAAAGCAGAATCAATACTATTATGTCAGCAACACCGATATCACACTATGGACAATTATGTCATAGCAGTCAGTATTGACACTTTATCCAGATGCTTTAGTACCTATACTATTCAGATGGTTACTATATGTTTTGATTTACTTTTGTAGCAGTCAGAGAGAAGGTTATGCAGACTGGTCCGTATACAAACCATAATAATGCTAGAGGTATGAACTACAAATAGAAATGAATCATATTTCATTGCAATTGACATTGACATTTCTCAAACTTAAGTGGAGATAGTTACACTTGCTGCTCCTTATGGGTCTTTCTAGTAAGGTCTGAATTACAGATACAAGCCAAAATGTTGCTCTAATTGCTTTAAGTTTGGGCATGATAATGATCCACTTGCTGATTAAAAGACACCTATGAGAAAGAAGAGTCAGGAGGAAGCATAGAAGCTGGGAAGGGAGGTACTATTTTTTCTAACAGCTTTGAAGTGTTGGGGGTCACTAGGTGGGAAGAAGCTGGGAAGGGAGCAAAAATCAGGAGCTATAATACAAATGCTACTTATTAAAAAAATTGATATTCTGAACTACATTTTTACCTTGAATTTTTCAGAATTCCAATATTTGAGTAGCTCTCTAAATTGACATTCTGGAATATGACCAGGCTTTTTTGCCATTCGAACTGCATCATTTTCATATGGATCGTAATAATTAAGCTTCAAATCACTTCTATGTCTTCTCCAAGCATCTCGAATTGTTACCATAGCCCAATGGTACGCAACTTCAGGAATAATATATTTCCCCTATAATTTTGTGTCATTCAATTAGCCAATAGAAGTAAAATACTTTTACAAATAATTTATTACTGTAAACTACAAACCTTGGTATAATCCCACAAATCCTTTTTAGTGTCCATGCTCCTCCAATCCAATATATCAAATGGGCAAAGAGTCGCATTTCTAGCCAATGTTCCTAGGAAGCTACTTAGCTCTATGACAACATCATCTGTAGGACCAACAGGTTGATTTTGACTATTCAATATGATCAACTTACGTTCTTTCAGGCATGAACATCATGCATATGCATTCTACCTCTTTTATTTGGACTGGAAACATCTCCAGCTATAAGAAAATAAAAGAAATATAATTAAAAATTATGAATACATTTAATAGGTTTGTAATCTTATATGTTACCTTGTTCTTCAGGTTGATCATTTGTTTGAGGAGTGACAGACTTCATTTGCACTTGATCCTCAAAAGGAAAATCTTTGCCATGCTGCTCAAGAGACAGCTCCTGGATAGGCTGCTCAAGAGGCAGCTCCTCGACAGGGTGCACAACAGGCAGCTCCTCGACAGGCTGATTTTCAAAAGGCAACTCCTCGGCAGATTGTCTTTTTGCTTCAGATTGTGGTGCTACTGATTGTTGTCCTCCAATTAATTTGAGCAGATGTCCTTTCTCGCACTCTATTTCTTTAATAATTTCATTTATTGTCAATAACCATCATTTCTTATTTGCCAAGAATGATAACGATCCCGGTTTAGCAAATGTCTTCTTTTTGACTTTTTTGGTTCTTTTTGAAGTTTCTTGTTGACTCATAGCTATGACTATTCTGACCTGTGTGAAAATAGAAGAAATTAAAAAGTTACAAAGATATTACAAAGAGCTGAATCACATCCAGTAGGTCTGTTATTGTCCACAATCACACACAAGATTTAGAGTGTTTTTAGGAAGCCAATTTGTGGAATTATAAGAGCAGCAAGTATGTTACTGTCCACAATCACACATAGTACGTTTGTTACTGTCCACAATTAAATTTTCTGCACTCAATCACATTCATAGAATGTACATTAAGTACTCAAAGATAGATATAGTGAAGAAGTGTTCAAAGAATCATAAAAACGAGATACGAACCTGGAGTGTTGGACCTTAATAAAGAGATAAGAACCTACTGATTTGCTGGTCCACTAATATATTGAAATTGCTCAGAGAAACTGCAAAAAGAAGAAGAATGAAAATGATCAATAAGAGAGAAAAAAGACTTACCATAACATGAAAAAAATATATAGAAACAAAAAGAAGAGATAGCAAATACAGTTCACTCAACATTCATAATCTATATGATGCAACTCAAATGATAATCATTACTTACTATAAGAAAAAAAACATAATGTATTCGAACAAGTCCACAAGATCCTTTGTCAATCATCAACTTCCATCCAATCCCAATCAGTATCATCAAAGTAATCCTCCTCTTCCGATGTTTCCATAGCTTCATCTTGTGAATGTTGTGCAATGGAAGAAGCATCGATGATATCAACAGGAAGATCTTCTCTAGACCATCTAACATCTACATCAACTAATCTTTTTGATGAACCAATATCATCATTAGGCTCTCTCCAAAATGTTTCTTCAATATTAGGACAATTCTCTTCCTCCAAATCATACAAATCCACAGGGACTTTGTTTCTTGCATAATAAACATTTTTCTCAACCGGGTCTTCCACATAAAAAACTTGATGCACTTGAGATGCTAGTACAAAAGGATCATTTGTACTACATTTTTTGTTGAAATATACCCGAGTCAATCCATATTCATCGACTTCATTATGAAACCAATCATAATTAAAAAGTACAACACTAAAGCAACCCCAATAATCAATCTCAATGATATCCTGAATTATTCCGTAATAGAGAACCATTCCATCAACAAGATTTTGGTCCCTAGCACTAGCAAAACTATCCGTTGTGGCTGACAAAGTCACTCCACTATTCTGAGTTTTACAAGGGGCATCCCGTGTCTTCGTATGAAATCGATATCCATTTATGAAATATCCAGTATATCTTTTGCCACAAAGTTAGGCCCTTTAGCTAGCCATTTTAAATGATTGGACACTTCAATATTTTTAACTTTTTCACTAAACCAATCACCAAATTATCTACTATGGACCTGTGCTTTTACCCATGCATTGCCTCTAGTACGATTATCAGTTAAGCTCTTATGTTCCCTGTAACCATGTAATGTAATTTAATCAATGTGTATTTATAAATGAAATGAAATTTTAAATACATTATCATAACATCTAACTGAAGTTTAAAAACAAACGAGTATTTTATCTTACTTGATAAATGCCTCTACTTGTTCATCTCCTGTATTGAACAAAGTATATCGATGTGCTTCAAACAACTCATGCTGCTCCATGTTAAAAATCTTGCCTTTCCTTATATTCTCACTTCCAATTGGATGACCTGTCTTAGGAAATAAATGTGAAACACCACCTTCCTCTGTTTGAATGTACTCATCATCCTCTATTTCACACCTACTTAATTTTGTCTTCACCGTATTAGGTAGGTATATAGAAATAAAGTTCAAACAATCTACAGCTGAAAAACCTTCTACTATTGATCCTTCAGGATTTTTTCGATTACGAACAAGCCCCTTGAAGTCACACATAGTTCTCTCTGTAGAATACATCCAACACAAATGAGTTGGGCCTCCAAGCTTAATTTCATCTACTAAATGGATAGGTAAATGTGTCATTATATTAAAAAAAGATGGAGGAAAAATCTTTCAAGCTCATATTCAATATCTATGATTTCTGCTTTCATCTTATCAAGATCGCTTCTTCTTATAACCTTGCTACATATGGCTGTAAAATAATTCCCCAATCTAATCAAGACCATAGCTACATTCTTGGGTAACACTTTTCTGACTGCAACCTGGAGCAAGTATTGCATTATGAAATGAGCATCGTGACTTTTGTATCCTGATACTTTCATCTCTTCAATTTGCACACGACTTGATATATTAGAAGCACACCATTTTGGTAATTTGGCATCTTTTAAGACGGTGCAAAATAACTTTTTCTCATCTGGTGTCATAGAGAAACAAGCTTTAGCTAGATGGATATTTCCTGTATCACAATCTTTTAGAGGTTGGAGCTCTTTACATATCCCCATTTCATACAAGTCATAGCGAGAATTTATATGATCTTTGGACTTTCCAAGTATATCCAATAAAGTCCCAAGCACACTGTCACAAATATTCTTCTCTATGTGCATCACATCAAGATTGTGCCTCAATTTGTTTGTTGCCCAATACGGCAACTCAAAAAATATGGATTTTTTCTTCCATGGACCATAATTCTTTCGTTTTCTTTTCTTTTTGTTCTTTCCAAATACATTATTGAATTTTCGAAGCTCTTCAAGAATTTGTGCACCTGATAATGGAGTAGGTGCAACTTTATGCTCCTCTTTACCATTAAATGATATTTTATCTCTTCTGAATGGATGATCAGGAGGTAAAAACGTACGATGACCCAAGTAACACATCTTGCGACTATGTTTGAGATATTGGTAACAAGTATGATGGTTACAAGTGGGGCATGCCCATCTCCCCTTGGTGCTCCATCCAGAAAGCATTGCTAGAGCTGGAAAATCACTAATTGTCCACAATAAAGCTGCATGCATTAGAAATGTTTGATTAGTTACAACATCATATGTTTCAACTCCCACTTCCCATAGTTCCTTCAACTCCGCAATCAGTGGTTGCAAGTATACATCTATATCATTTCCCGGAGACGATGGACCTGGAATAATCATTGATAACATAATATTCTCCGACTTCATGCAAGTCCATGGAGATAAATTATAGTTCATAAACATAACTGGACATGTGCTATGGGAAATGCTCATAGTTCTGAATGGATTGAAACCATCACTTGAAAGACCCAATCTAACATTACGAGCATCATTAGCAAAGTTAGGATGCAATGAATAAAAATCCTTCCAAGCTTCACCATCTTCAGGATGTCTTAAATTTTCATCTTTAAGTCGTTCAGTATCATGCTATCTCATAGCTACAGATGTTTCAGAACACATGAATATCCTCTGAAGCCTAGGCTTTAAAGGAAAGTACCTTAAAACCTTCACTGGGATTTTCGTAACCTTATTATTTAATTCATTCCAAACATTCTTCCATCTTGAAGCTCCACACACAGAGCAATTATCTAACTTTGCATTGTCATTCCAAAATAATATGCAATCATTAGTGCAAGCATGTATTTTCTCATAATGAAGATCCAAATCTTTTATGACCTTTTTTGCCTTGTAAAACGAGTCGGGTATCTGAGCTAATGGAAATGCCTCTCTTATCAAGTCCAACAAATCTGAAAAGGCCACATCAGTCAACTTGTGAATGCATTTAAACAAGTATAGCCGGATGGTAAAACTCAACTTAGAAAAATTCTTACACCTTGGATACAACTCTTCTTTCCCTTCCTCCACTAATTTAAAAAATCTCTTTGCATATTCATGTGGCCCCTCCTTCACTCCTTCATCTCTCTGATCATCTACAATATTTCTAAAAGTATCATGAAGTAATCTATCAATGTCATCATGCCTGTTAGAAGTTTCTTCTTCATCGGTTGGATGTGGCGTATTTCTTGAGAAAAATCCTTCACCATGAAAAACCCATTTGGTGTATGCATGAACAAATCCGTGGCAAATCAAATGATCCTCTACCATATTTCAGCAATGCCAATTACGATTAAAGCACTTCTTACAAGGATACAGTATTTCATTTCCTTGGAAAGCTCGTTCAAATGCTTTATCAAGAAAATCATTAACTCCATGAATATATTCATTGGTGGATCTTCGGAGATTCATCCAACTTTTATCTCCAAAATCCATTGAATATTTATCCTACATGACATGTGCAAAACATTAAAGCCAAAAAATTCATGTGTACAAATAATATCGAAAGAACTTAACAACTCAAACTTTTAGATTAATCGAATGTCAAACCTTTACATCAATTCAACAACAAACATTTACAACACTAATAGTAGAACCAAAAAATATTGACAAGTTAAGTTATTAGCAGCTTCCACCATTTAATAAACTTTATACAAATGAATGACTAAAGGCACACGCAAATACATTTCAAAGCAATAAGGACAAACCTAGATTAGAGTAAATAACATACATTATAGCAATAGGCTACAACAAGCAAACAAAATAACTATCAATACATTAGTTTTGATTCTAGCAAAAAAGTTCATGTATTTGTAAAATAATAACAGAGTATTCACATGGAAAAAGTAGTTCAAACAAACTATAACAACTCATATTCTCTTTATAAAAATACACTAGGGAGTTAGCTGGTCAATCTAACAACTACCATATAGCAGAAAATTTCTATTACTTTAAATTTCTTACCAATCAGCCTTCTCAGGTTCCAAACGAACTACTTCAAAAATCCTCAAGTGTTACCTTTGGGTCTGTTTCAGCCAAGCCTATAAATAACATAATCACACAATATTAGTAGGAAACCAAGCCAAAGAGAGGAAAAAATATAAGAGATACAAGTCCAAGATAAGTAGCTTAGCTTAGAAAACTCCATAAAAAAATCCTTCTTTTTAATCACACATACAAAAAAAAATCAGTGGCACAATGACTCTATTGTTACTAAAATCAAGAAAATTGATTTATTTGAAACCCAAGATTGAATTTTTATCTTCTGTTTATCATCATCATACAAATATCACCAAATATAAGAACCCCACTTCGAATTCTTGGTTTAAATCAACCCCACTTTGCTTATTTTCTTTTTGACTCAACCAAATCTCAAACAATGTTAAATCCAATGCAAAGTATTCATAATGATTCCAGGTCCTCGATTTCCCTGGAGGCGAGGTCAAATTCATCTCACACTTGAACTATATTCCTTAAACAAAAGAGGAGAGAGTACACTGTTACAGGGTCCTTGACGATGATGGTTACTCAATAACTATTGATTTTACAGCAATTGAAAAGGAAGTTGCACTGAAAATATACACTGATATAGTCCAACTTCAAACAATGGATACAATATTTTATGAAGCACAAAGACAAGGACTATATTTTTTCTATGTTACACTGTTGAATCAAACAAATATCGTCAACTTTTAGATTAATCGAATCTCAAACCTTTACATCAATTCAACAAAAAAACATTTACAACACTAATAGTAGAACAAAAAAATATTGACAAGTTAAGTTATTAGCAGCTTCCACCATTTAATAAACTTTATACAAATGAATGACTAAAGGCACAAGCAAACACATTTCAAAGCAATAGACTGCAACAAGCAAACAAAATAACTATCATTACATTAGTTTTGATTCTAGCAAAAAAGTTCATGTATTTGTAAAATAATAACAGAGTATTCACATGGAAAAAGTAGTTCAAACTATAACAACTCATATTCTCTTTTTAAAATTACACAAGGGAGTTAGCTGGTCAATCTAACAAATACCATACAGCAGAAAATTTCTATTACTTTCAATTTCTTACAAATCAGCCTTCTCGGGTTCCAAACGAACTACTTCAAAAATCCTCAAGTGTTACCTTTGGGTCTGTTTCAGCCAAGCCTATAAATAACATAATCACACAATATTAGTAGGAAACCAAGCCAAAGAGAGGAAAAAATATAAGAGATACAAGTCCAAGATAAGTAGCTTAGCTTAGAAAACTCCATCAAAAAAATTCTTTTTTTTAATCACACATACAAAAAAAACAGTGGCACATGACTCTATTGTTACTAAAATCAAGAAAATTGATTTATTTGAAACCCAAGATTGAACTTTTATCTTCTGTTTATCATCATCATACAAATATCACCAAATATAAGAACCCCACTTCGAATTCTTGGTTTAAATCAACCCCACTTTGCTTATTTTCTTTTTGACTCAACCAAAGCTCAAACAATGTTAAATCCAATGCAAAGTATTCATAATGACTCCCAGGTCCTCGATTTCCCTGGAGGCGAGGTCAAATTCATCTCACACTTGAACTATATTCCTTAAATAAAAGAGGAGAGAGTACACTGTTACAGGGTCCTTGACGATGATGGTTACTCAATAACTATTGATTTTGCAGCAATTGAAAAGGAAGTTGCACTGAAAATATACACTGATATAGTCACACTTCAAACAATGGATACAATATTTTATGAAGCACAAAGACAAGGACTATATTCTTTCTATGTTACACTGTTGAATCAAACAAATATCGTCTAGCCAAGTAAATCAAATGGTGGAGAAGAGAAAGAGACTCTGTAAGCAGATTTAGGGAATGGATTGAAAGAGAAGAGTGTTTGAGCTCTCAGTTTGAATCAGAACTTCGCAGTAATATCAGCAAGGAGTTATTGCAGGCCATTCAAGTTGCAAAAAAGCAAGAGAAGCCCCCAAATTGCAGCATATCATGAAGCTCATACAAGCCATAGTTATATGGAAACTTTGGAAGAGAAGGAATGCTTAAAGACATGTTAAAGAGGTCTCTTTTTAATAAAATGTACATTCACTGTCAATATAATATGAATTGTGCAAGCAGTTAAAAACTTGAAAAACAAATTCAAGTTCCACACATTTCTATTAATGACACACAAATTCTTAAGACTAACATAATTATAGCCAGTTTAAATTATAGACACTGCATCCAAATAAAACACAACGAACATGTAAAGTGAGAAGTAAATCATACAAAGCAAATCAATTTGTGCTTCGTGAATGATCAAAACAATATCGCAAAATGCACAAATCCACACAATTTCATTAACTTTAACAAATAAATAGGGCATTATGTGTCACAGTTTATGCCGGCAGTGACTCATAAGGGAAGATAACATTCAATCGAACAAGCAAAAGACATAGACAATATCAGAATCCGAATGTATTTCAAAGTAAAACGACAGTGATACTCAAGTTTAAACATCTCTTAATAATCAAAAACAAAATTGAAGATAACTAAGCCTTAATCCGAAACAAGTTGAGATCAACAATATGAATATAAAAAAATAGATGAGAGAACACAGGGTCAAACAACTACAATATTTACATCAAGGTTTGTAGTCAGTCAAAGGACAAGAGAGTTTTTCAAAAACGAACTAGCTTAAGCTATATCAGTCAACAAAAAGTGAAACAAATACCAGTAGGAAGTAATTTGGGAGTAATTTTTGTCCACATTCACATCAAATGGGGAATATTAAGGAAGAATTCAGCTGAAACAAAAAAATATGCAGAAAGAAATACTTACAGATCCACAAACTTGGAGCACTAGATTTTGACTCTCTTATATATCACAGAATCAAATAGGGGAAGTTTATACACTAACTATATTGGAGCAAATAACATAGGTTTAAGACTAACCCATATATTATTCTTTAACATTTTTCAAAATTAATTCAATGGGGACTTAGAAATCATGAACTAGCATAGAAAGCTTAAACATTATTAACCTTTAAGATGAATTCGTAGTCGAACCTCAAAAACATCACCAAAAAGAATGAGCTGGTTGTTTTCCCCGATGAGCTTCAGCAACAACTTCACAATTGAGCTTCAACAACGAGCTTCAGCAACAGCTTCACCTACGAGCTTCACCAACAACTTCACCGACAACTCTTCACCAACGAGCTTCACCAACAGCTTCACCAACGAGCTTCACCAACGAGCTTCACCAACAAATTTTGTTTTTCTCACCAAAATCTTCAGAAATTCCTTTCACATGCAGCTTCACCCACAAAAAGCCTCTCTCACATTGCTTTGATGAAATTTCTGAAAAATAAGGGTTTCTAAATAATTTCATTCTTTTTCTTTACATTTTCTAAAAAGTTAATAAATCAGAATTATTTTTTTAGGAGGGACTAATTATATTGGAGGGAAATATATTTTTTTAGGAGGAAAAAATATTTAGGGCTAAAAAATCAAAATTATTTTTCTAAAAAATCGTTGCCATAGAGTTGTCTATAGCAACAGTTTTAAAACTTGTTGCTATACCTTCTCTATAGGACGGTTATAGGGATTATGCAACAGTTTATTTTAAGAATTATTCTATTAGATTCAAGGATATTTGGCCACGGTTATAACTGTTGTAATAGGTTAGCTATTGCTACGATGGTATAATCGTTGCTAAATAAGCGTTGCAGTAAGTCAAATTTCTAGTAGTGAGACCAAGTGTTAGGTGTCATCAAGCAGTTTCAGGCTTCATTTGAAAGAGAAACTGGAAAGAAACTGAAATGTATTCGTACTGATAATGGTGGTGAATATTGTGGACCATTTGATGGATACTACAATCATCAAGGTATTAGACACCAGAAGACTCCTCCCAAGACTCCTTAGCTAAATGAATTGACTGAGAGGATCAACAAGACCTTGATGGAAAGAGTTAGATGTTTGCTTTTCGAAGCAAAATTGTCCAACTCATTTTGGGGTTAGGCTTTATTGACTGATGCACATGTTATTAATCTATCTCCTACTGTTGCTTTGCAAAGTGATGTACCAAATAGTGTTTGGTACGAAAATAATGTTTCCTATGATCATTTGAGAGTATTTGGTTGCAATTGCTTTTGTACATGTGCCGAAAGATGAGAGGTCAAAGTTAGATGCCAAGACAAGGTAGTGCATCTTCATTGAATATGACCTTGATGAATTTGGTTGCGGGCTATATGATCCGATTGAAAAGAAACTTGTGAGAAATCGTGATATTA